TTCGGTTCAATTTTACTTTTCAAAACTTGAAACCATGGTTGATTGGTTTGGTTTATTTTGGTTCAATTTTGGGGTTTTCGTTTTTTACTAAAAAATTCCATTTTATTTAAAATAGTACCTGTAGTACAATAGTTGGGGAGATCAAACATACTCCCTCCGTCCCACTAGAAGGTTCCCGTGAACGATTTACGATGCTTGACTGACGATAAAGCAACTTAATCCCTATTCATACTCTGATTATTTTTAGTAAATAAAATTAACATATTCAGAAACTAAATTAAAACCGCTGCAAAGCCTCATAAAAATGTAAATTTGGTAAAAATTTGATTTATAAAGTAAAAGATTAAAAATGATTTAAGTTGACCATGAGAATAGTGAACGAGAACGTTCTAATGGGACGGAGGGAGTATTACATAAAAAATGTAAGCATACGAGAATAAATAAAATACAAAAAGAGAATACATACATATGTATGGAATTGTATGCATATGCGGGAAAGATATCACAGTTTTCTAATTTTTTGGAACAAAAGTGTATGTCTTCTTAATTTACATTATTTGTGACTATTTTGAAGAAAGTTCATGAATATTTACACTCTATGTTGATATAAGTGAGATGAATAATTATTTGTTTTAACAATATACTCCGGTTCTGAAGTAATAACTAGTAAAAATATATTAAAAGCATAATAGATCAATATAACTACATTATGATAGACAATGAGTGTGTAAATACATTTATAAACTAAACTAAACTAAACATCATTTTCATTTACCCAGTACCGCAAAGGCTCCCACCTACGGTGGGGTAAGGGGGGTTAGATGTACGCAGTCTTACCCGTGTACTAAAGCACAGAGAGACTGTTTCCGGATGACCCATAGTGACCCATAGTCTTACCCGTGTAAAAAAAATCGCAAAGGCTCCCACCTACGGTGGGGTAAAGTAAACTAAACATAACAAATAAAATTTCATATTTTGATTAATTCGGTTCGATTTTGAAGGCTAAAAATCAAAACCGAATCAAACAACTACGGTTCTATTCAATTTTATACACTTTTTTAACGGTTTGATTTAATTTGGTTACGGTTCAATTTATTTTGATTTGGTTTTAAATTTTTGAAATGAATGGATAAATAAGGAAAAACGCCTATTGCAGTACGCCTGTACCGACCGCTTGGTCGGCTGAGTGGCTTTAAAGTGCTACCTAATCTAGAACAAGGTTCGACTCCTATTAAAAAGTAGTCCATTCGAAGAGTGAAACTAATTTAACCGTAATGGTATGTTTGACTTTAATCAGATTAGATTTACCAAGAAGCTATCTGTTCGTCTTATCATTTACTCTTATTTTATTCGGATCAAAAAAGTTCAGACATGATTTATCTCTTTTGCTTATAATAATAATAATAATAATAAATACTCTCTCCGGTCCCAAAAGAAATTCACTCACGGTTTACGACGATAAAACAACTCGATCCCTGTTCACGCTCGGATTATTTTTAGCAAATAAAATTTACATATTTAGAAACTACATTAAAACCGCTACAAAGTCTGATCAAGAAAATTTAAATTTGATATATAAAATAAAACATTAGGAGTGATTTAAGTTGACTAATGAATAGTAAGTGTGAATTTCATTTAGGACCGGAGGGAGTATAATAATAACAATAATAATAATAATAATTATTACTATTATTATTACTATTATTATTATTATTATTATTACTATTGTTAATAATAATAATGATAAAAATGACCATAATATTTTTATTAAATATCATTAATAATAAGAATTATAATAATATATTATTATTATTATTTTTTATTATAATAATACTAATAAATATCATTATTATTATTATTATTATTTTCATTATTATTATAATTACACGGAGTAATAATAATTATAATTACAAAAATAAATATTATAATTACAATTATAATTATAGAAATTATTATAATTACAAGTATAATTATAATTATAATTATAGCTATAATTATATTTAGTGTAATAGTTATAATAATAATTGTACCTATTATAAAATGTCAATTTTAATTATAATTTTTTATAATTATGATTATAATTACATTTAAATTATATTTATAATTAAAATTAAAATTATAATAATAATAATTATATATATAATTTTAGAAATATTCAAATCAGATCAGATAAAAAAGATTCAGATCAGATCAGAAAGATTCAGATCAGATCAGAAAGTTTCAGATCAGATCAGAAAGATTCAGATCAGATCAGAAAAATTCAGATGAAATCAGATCAAAATTTAAAAATTTCAGATCAGAAACATTCAGACCAGGTGAAGAGAACAACTTCTAACTCTTTTTAAATATATTAACTTTTTTAATGTTTACTGATACGTAAATAAATATAATTACAGTCAAAGTTGCGCGTTGGCAAACGTGAAAGTCAAACTGTTGCAACTTTTGTGGAACGGAGGATAGTATATATTTTTACTTTACTTGTTTTCCTTATTTTTTTGATAAGAAATTGTCCATATTGATATCATTAGAATTCTTATATCATTATCAAAACAACCAATATTAACTACAACTTTCCCCTTCCAACTATCACTTTTAACCCTACGATTAGACATAAAGACTATCATCATGAAGGAGCAATACAAATCACTAATCACCAAACGAGTTTAATATAGTTATTGCTCATAAAATGGATCCTCATACCTTTAGGCTCTAACCATATCAAATCTAGTTGAAAAATAGGTCATCATGATAAACCAAGCACCATAGACTTTAATTAAGAACAAAACAGCAGAATAAAATGCATATTGAAAATAAATTAAGAAAATATAGAACTTCCAGTTCGTATACCGTGGGAGCAGCCCACCTTGAGCATGCTGCTCCCACAACCAAATTCGCGTGTTACTGTTCATGCGGGTGAACAATAACTTTTTTATTCTCCAGTAACAAATTAAAATGATATAACTCGTGTGTAAAAAATGTAACTCATGCTGATAAGAAATGTAAGTGTAGGCAAATGAAAATGTAACTTGTCTAATACAGATTATAAGAAATAAATCATTGATTTCAATGAAAACAAAGAGTCTAATTACTCAATTACTTTACGTAAATAGTGAATATGTTTTTTTATATTAAGGCCATAAATAATATAATCTTTTTTCTTAAAATCCTTGTTTTGCCAAAAACAAATGTTTTTGGGAGAACTAGGCTAAAAGGTCAAATAGGTACATGAACTAACTTAAAGTGTTCAATTAGCCCCTTATATAGGAGGTTCTACCCGACCGTCGCCAATTGGGGCGGTTCCCGATAAAAAAATTTATGAAACTTTTTGAGCATCTTCTTCATTAAGTCTAGTTTACCCATATCAAATTTCAGCTAAAAATTAAATCGGGAAGGCAGTCAATGATTTTCCAAAATGTACTGTGTTGTTTAACTGCGCAGTTATCTTCAAAAAATCATTTGACTGCCTTCTCGGTTGAATTTTTATCTGAAATTTGGTATGAGTAAATTGGACTTAATGAAGAAGATGCTCAAAAAATTTCATCAAAAAATTCCTACCGCGAACTTCCCTGATTGGCGACGGCCGGGCAGAACCTCCTATATAAGGGGCTAATTGAACACGTTAAGTTAGTTCATGTACCTATTTGACCTTTTAGCCGGAGAACTATCAATTAAGCCCTTGAACTTTCAAAAAAAGTGCAAATAAGCCCTTTTACAGAATGCTTTGTCCGACTGTAGCCTTTTGGGGTGGTTTCCGGTGGAATTTCTTGATGAAATTTTTTGAGCATCTTCTTCATTAAGTCTAATTTATTCATACCAAATTTCAGCTAAAAATTCAACCGAGAAGGCAGTCAAATGATTTTCTGAAATATACTGCCCTGCCTAACTGCACAGTTATCTTCAAAAATTCATTTGACTGCCTTCCCGGTTGAATTCTTAACTTAAATTTGGTTTGAGTAAACTAAACTTAATGAAGAAGATGCTCAAAAAATTTCATCAAAAAAGTCCATCGGAAACCGCCCCAAATGGCGACAGCCGGACAGAACCTCCTATAAAAGGGCTTATATGCACTTTTTATGAAAGTTCGAGGGCTTATTTGATAGTTCTCCCAATATATTTTTACCAAAAAAATCATTTTTTTGCAAAAAGAGTGCTTTTTTGTTTCAATAAAATGGGCTTCCTTAAATAGTGAATATGGTCTATTTTTAATATTAAGGCCATAAAATGTTTTTTTTAATCACTTGTTATGCCAAATAAATCAATTTTTTTGCCAAACCGGTTTTTTGCAAAAATATGCTTCTTTTGTTTCAATAACAGGACATTATGTTGTGTGGGAACTTGTGTTATGCAAAATGTAACTCGCGTTGATGGAAAATCTAATTTAGGTTTATGCAAAATGTAACTTGTTAATGCATGTCTAAATGTAACTCGCGTACAAGAAGATGTAACTCACACATAAAAAAATGTAACTCGCAAACAAGAAGATATAACTTCGTATACTATCAATGCAAACAATTAAAATAAGGAGTCTAATTGCTCAAATTAGTTTTTATAAATAGTTAATATGTTTTGTTTTTAGTATTAAGGCCATAAAAATGTTTGAAAGAAAAATATTTTTTTTGCCAAAAAAACTCATTTTTGTTTGCAAAAATTGTTTTCTCCAATAGCTGGAGTTTATTTTGTGATGTAACTCGTGTTATGAAAAAATGTAATTCGCGTTGATGGAAAATCTAACTTAGGTGTACGCAAAGTGTAACTTGTTGAGACAAGTCCAAATATAACTCGCGCATAGGAAGATGTAACGTACTCATACATAAGAAGATGTAACTCGCGAATAAGAAGATGTAACTCTATATCTCATCAAATGTAATTCCAGAAATTGTCTATAAACATTACTCACTCATATGAAAAATGCAATATAATTTCATTTTTATGAAATTTAAATCGAAATAAACATTTTTAATGACTTAAAAACACTAAAAACATATCAAATAGGTAAGAAATATGGAGTATATTTTTTTTGCAAAGAGATAAGAAATATATTATAAAGAATTATGAAATTGACATATAAAAATATTACAAAAAAATATATTCTATTGCAATTTCAGTTGAAGATAAAAAAAGTAGAATAAGTGCATGATTATGAAATAAAAATATACTTTTTTGGATTAATAAAATTTTGTAATGATTTGGTAATGAAAAAAGTGTATGAACATAAAAAAGATCGTAGAAATAAAAATAGTGTATGAATATGAAATCCAATATACTAATTTTATTTAGATTGATGAACTTTTTGTTATGTATTAATAAAAATAAAAATTAGATTCAATTATAATTTAAGTTGAAGATAAAAGAAAGTAAAACTACAACTAAATTTTTAGTATTTTAATTTGATGAAAAAAGAGAAGAATTGAGAAAAAGAAAAATAAAAAAAGAAAAGCAAAAGAAAAGAACGAATGTTGCACCAGGAAGAATGAAAAAGGAAATCAATTTACTAAAGTGGGATCGGCACACCATGCGGAGGGTGGGCCGATCCCACGGTTAATTGAACATAGGCTGCACACAGCCCCTAACATATCATCTCCACCCTGCCAGCCTTGCGTAGTTATAATGACCACCATACAACTGGTCCTAGAATCACTAATGAAATCAAGACTCAGAAACTCAGACAGGGCTGACCCACAGCTCCCGCCCACATTCCATTTTGGGACCAAAAGTTTTATCTCATCAAAACAAACCTCCCAAATCGTGGGCACCAGATTTCCGATTCCAAGCTAACTTGATTGAGAGTGAGCAGAGCCCAACAAACCGCTCTAGCCAATCCTCCTACACGCCATATGAATCACCTCTCTAATCTCTCAAGCCGCCATGTTAGGTACGGGTTTGCCACTAACAACGATGCGCTAACAGACAACCCATGTGTTGGCGCCTCCAAGACAATTCTTCTGCCGCAAATGTAGCCGCGGTTGCAGGCACAAATATGGCGAGCACAACCACTGCGGTCCGTGGATTTGCAACCCTCGCCGATTGAAAATCTCCTCCTTTGATCCTACTAAGAGCCATTAATGCCGATCGATTGTAACCAGTCAATAAAACAAAACTAGCAAAAGACTTGGTCCAAGATGGCAGGAAAACCAGATCGACAAAGAAGCCACACAAAACCCTAGAACGAGAGAACCTCGTCTAAACCCATCCACCTGTACATCATGCACATATGCAATATTAGGTATATAAAGACAAACTTTCATAAATGAATATGTTCATTGGGATTGTGCTATTAGTTTTGCAGTACAAATACTCATATCAATATTTTTATAATTGTTTGTCGAGGAGGCTTCAAAACCAACACAAAAGACCATCGTGAAGAGTGGTGAATTAATTGTTCAACTATATATTAAGTCATGTGTACTTACCATTACCAAAAAAACCTACGCGATGACTCTGGTGGCACCCTGGACCGGTGGCACCCTGGATTGGCGGATTTGAACGGCTTCTCAAGGAAGAGTTAGATCGGCGAAGGGGACGACCCTATTAGGAAGTTTCAGTGTTTAGCTTTCCGCTGCAAGGTTTATTTTTGCTTCGTTTCTGTGTTTGGACCGATTGTGTTCTTGCTCTGGGCGTTTGTCCCATGTCTTTGATTTTGGCTTTGTATGACTGAGGTTGGTAGTATTGTTTTCTATTTTGAACAAACGGCCGGGATAGGTCTACTTCTTTGTTGATTGTGGTGGCTTTCAATTAGATTTTTTACACAGTTTTGGGATACTTCATTGTTTTGTGTTTTGTGTCTTTCATATTGTGTTGTTATGGAAATGATTACGAAGAATGTTAGCATGTTTTGAATTGCTGAGGAGGAGAATAGGGGTTTGGTGCTCGTGGCTGATCCGGTAGAGAACGCTGGCATGACTAAAGAGGGATCCTATCTAGCGGTTGTGGCTAGAGTGGTTTCGGTCAAACTCATTCATGTTGTTTCCTTTTGCCAAACAATGACTATGGTTTGACGACCAGTCAAGGGAGTTTCAATTGATGAATTGCGGATTCCAAATTTCTCTTACAGTTCTACCATGAAGGAGATCTGAGCAGAGTTGTTGATGAAGAGCCTTGGTCCTTTGAGCAGAATCTTGTGGTCATCAAACGGGTGGGGTGTACTGATAGACCTCTTGAGGTTCCACTCGATCATGCAGACTTTTGGGTTCAAGTTCACAACCTACTGTTAAGCTATATGATGTCAAGGGCAGCTTGTGGAATAGCTAACAACATCGGGTCGCTTGTGCAAATGGATGAGGGCTCTCTTGGGGGAAAGCAAAAGGTTGGTCATGCGCATTAGAGTCACTATTAATATTACTATGACTTTGACTAGGCGCTTACACGTCAGACAGGAAGGGGATAGCTGGATCTGGGCAAACTTCCGTTATGAGAGACTTCCAAAATTTTGTTTTCTTTGTAAGATTCTTGGTCATGTTGACCATTTCTGTAACTCTAATCTGCATAGTGGCATATGGATCAGGGAGAAGTCTTATGGGTCATGGTTACGGGCTGATACGAGGCGGGCTGGATCGCATCCGGGTAGCAGGTGGCTTATTTCTAGCAGCAACAAGCCACAGGACAAGATGGATGAGAGAGTAGACTCCGATAAAGTGACAAACGAACATGAGAGCTATATGATTGAAGGAATCCTATCAAAGGGCAAGGAGATTGCTACAACTTAGGAAACACCAAGAAAGCGCAGGGTCACTGAGAAGGATAGTGAGAAGGGGGCACATGCACGCATGGATGTGGACGAAGAAACCCCCAAAAAATTGGAAGTGGTGGTGCTGTCCGAGTAGTACCGCGAGTAGCAGAAGAATTTGAGGATAAACATGAGGAACCTTTAGCGGAGGCTGGTCAAACCGTTGTTTCCTTGCCAGTGGTTGGAAAAACTGGATTATGTTCTTCCTTTGATTTGTTGTAGTCTCAAAACTCAATTGTGTTTTTTGCGTTTCTATCTAGTAGCAGGTGCATCATTACTGTGTATGGAGTCTACCAAATTGTGAGGTTAATGAGACGGACCGCTAGTAAGCGTGATTCCAGCTCTGAGTCTCACCCCAATGCAGCCTTTGTTATGGCGCACTTGTATCTGATCCTTAGTTTTAACATTAATTAAGTTATCTTTTGCCAAAAAAGTCAGGTGTACTTACGACTTAATTCAATTCACGACTTATTCACCAGTAAAAAACTGATTTAATCATTAAATTGTAATACATTAATACTTTCTATTAAGATGCCCATTAATTTGATTATGGAATAATTTATGTGAATAAATTAAATTGCTCATTCACAATATAACTCAAAAATAATATGTGAAAAATGTAAATAACCCCTAATGTTCTTAATTGGGCAGTAACATCGTACCCTTTTAATGCATCACTGTTTGTACAAAATAAGGTACACTGTGATTGTTTTTTAATTTGTAATTTGGTAAGATCAAGTAATCAACCAAGCGTCCTCTTTACTTACTAGCTGGAGACGAGAACAAGAGTTTGAGAAAATGCTGCTGCCAGGTAGAGGTGCTCGTAATCTGCTATGGAGAAAACCGCTAGGGAGAACTATAAAGATCAACACGGATGCGTCTGTGAAACAAAGGGGAGGGGGCTGCGGCGTGGGATGGGTTGCACATGACTCTACATGAGCCTTTCTAGCGGGGGAGGCTATCCCAGGGTGGGGGAAATATCTACCACGAGAGGCGGAAGCTCTAAGCATAAGGGAATCACTGAGCTGGGTTACGACATGAGGATGGGATAACATTGAAATCGAGTCTGACGCTTCTCGGGCCATTTCAAGCATCCAAGCAGGGACCTGAAATTCAAGTTTCAGTATGCTCATTGAGGATATTAAAACTATGGTGACTAGTTTTTCTTGTATTTCTTTTAGTCATGTGAAACGGTCTGCGAATTGTGTTGCTCACAGTCTAGCTAGAGCGACAGGTTCTATATATGATCGTGCAATGTGGATTTCACAACCACCTATGTATCTGCGACATGTTGGCTCATGATTTAATTAATGATAGTTAATCGTTTTTTCATCAAAACAAAATACTTGTTTCTTTTTTCTTGCTTTATTTTCCTCTTTAACTATTCTCTAATTTCTTCTGAACCAAATATAGTACTCTCTCTGTCCCGGTCATTTCTTCCGATTTTGACCGGTATCGCAAATTTATGCAAATTTATAAAGGCCTTGACTTTCCCCTTATATCCTTGGCCGAATTGGGTAAATAAATGGGTAAAAGTTGAGGTAAAAACTTTAATAAAGTGGGAAAATGATTACAAGTAGATTGATTGACATGCGAATAGTAAAGACTATTCACATTTGGCTAAAACTTGCATACATTGAGGCGGCAATCCAAAAAGGAGGGAGATTACTTTTTGGTTCCTTATATTACTCCCTCGTAATTCCCTACATACACACACGCACACTTCCATCACACACTCCACACACACGCACACTTACAGACACTGCACACACACGCACACTGTCCGGGAAGCTCATCCCCGAGAATGCACCGTCTCTCCCACGACCTCTGCAGGCTTCTCGCTTACATCCTCGGGAAGCTCTTCTTCACTGTCTGGGATGATGAGGAGGGCATCCTTTTCCGGAGAGTTCTGAGCCATGCACCTCGGATGATGGAGTACCATGCATCCTCTTCCGGAGGTCATATGTGTCCAACGCCACCGCTTCCTCCGGAAGAACACCCTCTTCACTGTCAGGGACGATGAAGTGTTCAATATTCTCCATACTCAAAGTATTAGGGTTTAGATCCATAAAAATGTGAGAGAGAGGGAGGCGGAAAGGTAGATAGATTTACAGAGGGGGAGATGAAGGAAGTAGATGGGAGAGACGGTTGGAGTAATTGAGAGAGACGGATGCAATGACAGAGAAAGAGGAGGGGATGGGAGTAAATGGGAGAGAGGGATGCGGGTGGGAGTAAATGAGAAAGAGAGAGGGATGCGGACGGGTAAAAGGGAAGGGGAATGGGAAAGGGTTTTTTTATTGGGGAGGGTAAAATAGAGTTTTTAGTATGAGTTGATTTCCTTTTTAGGAAAGTTGGAAGAATTAATTGGGACGGCCTAAAAAGAAAAGTTGGAAGAAATGACCGGGACGGAAGGAGTATATGATTAAGCTCTAAAATACTCTACACGACTTAAAGGTATAAGCAATGACACAGAGACAACTATAGAGAGCAAGTGTTCTACATTTTATGTCAGATATCTGACTTGACACGTCTAAAATGTGCATTTGTGTGTGCATACATGTCTGATTACGCCTCAATCTAACTATCATTAAACAATAAATATTGTTACATTCATCTCATTACAAAGTTTCATAATCCGATTTTTAAAACCACGGTTACATGCATATTTCCGTTGGGCTAAAGTGGCCAACCAAACGGAAAAGTAAACCTACAAAACGAATAAGTACCGCTGTTACGCTGTCGTTTCACAGGTAGTCTCAGGTTTAGATTAAAGGAGCTGGTAATGACAGTAATGTAATGTCCAAAGACGGGAAAAATTAGCCGAGTCAACAAAAGGCATCGAACGAAAAGAGAAAAAGACAAATCAAGAAAACACAGTAATCAGAACCATCTCCCGAAAGTCTATGGTGCTTTCAATTTCCGGTTCCTTCTCCTCTGTAAGAATCGCCGATACTTCTTCCCCTACCGTTCTCGAAAAGCCAAGACCTATGCACACGTTTACATATATTTATGATAATTTTCTGTAAATTTTAAATAATCACTTGCCCCCTGTCTCTATGTGTTATTGAAAAAAAACTGGTAATTGTTGATTTCTGCTTCAAGATTTTATTGATTTTGTGGAAAGTTAAGGCCTACGCGGAAGGGTTCTCCTTCCTCGATTACTTTGAGGAGTTTAAGTGCGGAAGAATTCAAATATTGAGCTTGGGGTTTCAAGCAATATTGAGAGGGCATGCTTGAGATTTGGTTTGATTGATGACATTTGTTTTCTGTATTGAAGTTGTGTTTGGATGAAAAGGGGATTTTTTACCCCACCCCTGCTTTGATCATGGAGGCTTGCTTGTTTTCTTATGGATGAAAGTAGGTTTCTGCTTATTTTTAATCATACCTCTGCATTTTCTGTGCCACACTGCGCAAGTAAAAGAGCTGCTGAATGTCTTAGTATGCTTTATGTTCGAAAGTAGATATTTGTGGGCTGTGAAAGAATGATCAAACAGATATTTGGTAGAACTCCAAAGAAACAGCCCAAGTCGGCTGGAAACCATGCCTCTAATTCAGATGCTTCAACAAGCACAAAGAGAAGTGACAAAAAACAAGTCAGAGCTTCATCAAATACTGTTATTTCATCTCCTTTTCCCATACCCAATAGTGTCACAGACGGAAACTCCAAACCAAACAGAACCTATCTTATGTCAGCATATGAAGCCTTGCCGAGTTTCCGAGACGTTCCCACCTCCGAGAAGCAAAGTTTGTTCATCAGAAAGCTAAACATGTGCTGTGTCGTCTTTCAGTTCAGTGACCCCACAAAGAACCTCAAAGAGAAAGAGATCAAGAGGCAGATGTTACTTGAGCTAATGGAATATGTCACTTCGGCCAATGTGAAGTTCACAGAAACAGTCATGCAAGAAGCTGTGAAGATGATTTCTGCGAATATATTCAGGGAGCTCAAACCACAACCAAGAGAGAACAAGGTGGAAGCCTTTGATGTTGAAGATGACGAGCCCGCCATGGACCCTGCATGGCCACATTTACAAATCGTTTACGAACTTCTCTTACGGTTTGTTGCTTCGCCCGAAACAGATGCAAAGATTGCAAAACGTTACGTTGATCACTCATTCGTCCTCAAATTGCTTGACCTCTTTGACTCTGAGGACCCAAGAGAAAGAGAGTATTTGAAAATCATAGTTCACCGCATCTACGGGAAGTTTATGGTTCACCGGCCATATATACGGAAAGCTATAAACAATATATTTTACCGTTTCATCTTCGAGACTGAAAAACATAACGGAATTGCCGAATTGTTGGAGATTTTGGGTAGCATAATCAACGGATTTGCTTTGCCATTAAAAGAGGAGCACAAGCTTTTCCTTGTGAGGATGTTGATCCCTTTGCATAAGCCAAAATGCTTGCCTATGTACCACCAGCAGTTATCATATTGTGTAACACAGTTTGTGGAGAAAGATTGTAAGCTTGCCGATACAGTTATTAGGGGATTGTTGAAGTATTGGCCGGTGACAAATAGCTCAAAAGAAGTTATGTTTCTTGGTGAATTGGAGGAAATCTTGGAGGCAACTCAGGCTGCAGAGTTCTTAAGATGTGTCGTGCCCTTGTTTCGCCAAGTTGCTCGTTGTTTGAGCAGCATGCACTTCCAGGTATTTTGTTGATTGGCATTGCAGAATCTGGTGTTTGTGTGATTCTTTTTTGGGTTTGTCATTAGCCCTTAAAACACTAGAGTGAAATTAGGGACGTAATTTGGAGGAAATGATGTATATTTGTTTGAACTTTATTTATTTACTTTTATGATATAAATAAGGCTATGGATTCTAAGTATATTTAAAATATTCAAAAATGTTAATCACGTTTGATTGTTTACTTTTGTGTATTGTATTAGGCATAAACAAACATAAGAAAATATTTTTTCTTAGCATTTATTTTTTCTTTTCCTAGTTTTTTTGTGATCCCTGATCCAAACATATCCATTATGTTTGCACAATTATTTTACCTCTTTTTTGGTTCTGAAGTGGATAGGGGAGTGGAGGAAAATGAAAGAGTTTAAAAACCATTGTGTCTTGGTTCAATGGAGTTATGACTTATGAGGAGAGTAGTATTTGTAAGAAGTATGTAAACATAGTATGGTAATAGCGATGTTGTTGTAATCAAAAGTATTATGTAATATTTTAAATGTAAAATAATTTTAATGTAGATAAGTTTTGTATTTGAAAGAAAATAAGACATTAAGAAAAAAACCTAGATTCCCCAAAATGGAGGATTGAGATATCAAGAGTTAGGGTAGCTCTTCCATTTCCTTCCTCTTCTCGTTAACTCCCCAAACTAAATACACCACTCCTCCACTTTCTTCCCCTCCCCTCCAAATCCCCCCAACCAAAGATGAGCTTATAGCCAAAACTATGAGGTCATTTTGCACTACAGGTTCTAGTGAA